GTACATAATGTAGATTACACAAATATAAAGCTTAGCGATCATTAAAACTGAGTTTGAGATGTCGCAGTTGCTTCAAAATTTTCCTGTGAATTTCTCTGTTGCCACACTCACAATTTTCCATAATGTGGAATGGTTTTTGTTCTCTTGTTTTATAGTCCCTCCCTTTACATAGCAGGCAGAACTCAGGTTGTCCTGTTGAAGGAAATGTATGTTTGTAATCTTTTATTTTTAACAAACTTTAACAAACTAGTTCTTTGTGGTGAAGAAGTAGCATGTTTCAGTATATGTATGATTGAAATGGTTTCTGGAAGGGGGAGGAAGAGAGACTGTAAATTCTAAACAAAGCTCTAATTCATGCGTTAACACAGTGGCAAAGTCCAAAAGATTGCATTTTTAGAGGTGAACCAGAACTGAGATCGAGCACTACATCACACCTATATAACCCAAGACGTTTTCTGTCTCTGTAGGTCTTTAGGTTGTTCTACTAGTAAAACAATTGGTATCATTTTTAAAATTTGAATCCTGAAGGAGATCCATTTTTTGGCCTCTTGTTTGTGGCTTGGTAACTGGATGTAAGTTTAAATTACTTCTGTGCTTTTTGGAAAACAAGGCTGTTGGTCCAGTTTTCCAAAAAAAACCCAACACCTTTAGAGGTTGTCCATGTATTTTGAAGCCAACACCTTTAGAGGTTGTCCATGTATTTTTAAGTCTCTTCCTCTCTCTTTTTTTTTTTTTTTTCCCTTGAGCACTTGTTAGTTCAAAAATGTGCATTTTAATAGTTCTATAGACTAAGTGCCTGCACAGGTGATGCACCTTCTCTTTGCAAGCCTGGATTAGTGCCTTCTGCACCGTGGGAAGAACTGCATGACATTTGTCCCTTTCCTTCAGTTATTTGTGAGGAAGAACTAAGCCAAATTTTATCTCGTGCATAATGTTGTCTCATACTAGCCATTCCTTCAAACACATTCTGCTCCAGTCTGTGTATTTTGATTTAATCTTCCAAGTGTTTTTCTGAAATGTGTCATTCAGACCTGCTAGCCGTGCCTTCCAGATACAAAACTCCTCCGTTTTCGATGTTTTGTGATTTTATTTTTAGAAATGTAACGGTTCTGCCTCCTTTGCATGAAGAGTCTCAAAAAATATGTTGGAATCACCAGTTTTCTTCTGAGACTTCAATTGCAGTAAATGTCACTGTATGATCTGATACAGGCAAGAAGAACATTGTTTGACACGCGCTTAGACTGGAGGCTGAGAGGTTTACGACTAATTCAGTTATCTTTTTCCTTTGAAGAGCGCTTAACATCTTTACCCAAACTGGCTGTGGGTTTAGGTTTGCCCAGGATTTGCAGTTCTGTGGGCAAATGATATTTATACAGAATGACAGCAGAGGGACAGTGTGGAGATCAGGAATTGTTCTCTACTGGAGGGCCTGTAAAAGACCAGATCATCCAAAGCAGGGGATAATGGTAACATAGGAGTTGTGTTGTCTCTGGGCTGGAGCACTGGACACTTGCAGAGTACCTGCTATAACCTGCATTTCTGAAATGAGAGGCAGGACTATCACCACAGGACCTTTTGTATAGGAGGCAGGGAAAGTAACACCAGGCTGTTTACAAACTGGTACGGAGAAGCAATAATTAAAGGATTCTTTCTTGGTAAGCTCAGTCCTTGCACTAATCAGATAGGATCTGAAGGCATTAGTTCTGACATAGGCAAAATCCAAGTGGAGTGAGTTCAGTTTATTTACACAGAGGTGGAAGGAAGACCTATATGTATGCACACACAGAAAAACAGAAGTTTTAACATCAAAAGTTGGGTTATTTTGCAAATATAGCGGACTGATATGCAAATAAATTCAGGAAGCAAAGGGAAAGGGGTCCAAAGGGAGTATAAGGTGAAACTCTCAGTATCTCAATAAAGACATTTCTCATATGGGTGGGCCTGGCAAAGTGCTACCTGTCTGTCTGTATGAAAAGAGTATATTTCTAATTAGGTAGTTAATTTTCACTTAAGATTTATTTAACCTCTGGTTTGGGTAGCAGTTTTTAATTCAGTTGAAAAAAACCACTTTCACAATCAGTGCTTCTAGTTAGCTCTGCCCAAGAAATTAAAAATATGGGTATATATATTAAAAAGATTTAACAAGACATCTTTTGAATACGGTTCTTCCTTAGTAAGGAGGGAAGGTATTGCCCATTATTCAGTGCATCAGAAAATGTTTCTGATATGTGTGATCCTGTAGATATGCAAGGTTACTAGTTCTGGCTTTTAATCATGGTTGAAGGAGGAAGATAACATTTCCTTATCCACTTTAAATGATCAAGTTGTCAATTTTGGTTTGTGTTCTTAATTTTAAGACAGTTTTCTCTGTAGCTGTGGAAGAGATGATTGCTGTCAAAAGTTGGTTTTAGCACTTTAGTATACACTGTTTTCAGGTCTTACTCTGGTGACTAAATTCCATGAGACTTTTCAATGCAGTCTGCCTTAGTGGCAAGCATGTATTGTCTGAACTTGACTTCAACGTTCTTTTTTATTATTTTAATACTTTATACTAAGCCTAGACTTCAACATCTGTAGCTCTCATTTCAAAGATAGTACTAATTATGTTTTCTAATTATACTTTGTTTTTTAAATGACATTTTATGTCTTTTAATTACTCTCTGTTTTGATAAGAATCTTTGTAAAAGGAAATTCCTTGACACAGAGGAACCGTGGCTTATTTGAGGGTTGAATCAGACCTAGAGAACTGTGTAATTAGGTGTGTTAGGTTACTGTCATGTTTATTGAAAACAAAACTTGAGGGCAAATTAGTGGCTGTGACAGAATAGACTGACACTGTTAAGTGATCGTTATGGAGTCCTTTAAAGGCTTTTTAGCCTGTTTGGCACCAACGAGGAAAGTGAGAATATCAGGCTCCCTTGCAGAATTTGAGCTGTCTGTGCCTTTTCCTCAACTATTCAAAAGCACTTTCTTTTTCTGTCTTTTCCAAGTGTCCTGCTAAGCTAACCTGACACCTAGCTGTCACCAAGAGAGTTGGCCTCCCTTGTATTTACAGAAGAGCTTGTTGGGAACTCAAATGATAGCTAGTGCTGGTGGAGAAGGGGTGCTCTTTCTGATGACCATCAGCTGGTACAGTGCTTGTCTGTGTTACAAAACAGCCCTTCCTACAAGCAGTTGTGTGCGCTCTTCTTCCCTAAGGCACTAACTGTAAGCCTGATTAGTTAGTCAGTGTGTTCTGTAGTGTCAGGTGTTAAAATAGTTGTAGAGATGGGAATCTAAATACTGCACGGAAATGCATTAATTCGTAAGAGTTGCCAAGATATTTGAAGGAAATCAGAACTTTTTAGGTCTGTTCATTGCAGGAAGGGGAATGAAATATGGGATGAGAGTCTGGTTAGAGGGAGCATTCTCATTTATTTCTTTGAAGAGTGTGTGCAAACATCAAGGTTAAGGCCATAACAGTATTGCCATGTTCTTAGCCCTTTAAATTCCCGGGTCTTCAAAATAAAATCCACCAAGGTGAGAGCAGAAGCTGAGGTTAATTTTAACTTGATCAGGCTGAGACAGCTCACCAGTCTGTCTGTCATTAACGTAAGATTATTTTGCTTTCTGGTTAGGAATGAACGGAAACCTTTAGTATATATTGAAAGAAGAGACCTGTCCTGTGAAGACCTGTGAGGACTCTGAGCTGTAAAATGACAGAAATGCAGCACCCGCTGGCAGAAAGAACTACCCATTGCAGCACGTACCTCCATCTTGTAACAGCCTGGGATTTGAAATAAGGGGCTTATCACTTAATGGCTTTCATGTGCGACAGAAAGTACGTGCACAGGGAAAACCTGCTGTCTGGCACCATATACCCAGAGATTTTTAATGTATTTGAAGGGGTTGCCTTTGTGACAAAAAGGGAGAGGGAGGCGTGCGTCTCAATGAAAAACGTGACTGGCAAAAGCTTCGATTGTTCACTCCCCCTTTCCCAGCAAATTGCCTGAAAGTGGATCATAAACAGTGATGCATCATTACTATTATCTCCCCGTATGACTCACTGAGCCATATATAGCAGCTCGTCTTTTGAGGAGAATTCTTACTCAGAGCAAGTAGGATGTGGAAACAAATATTAAATGTCAGACTGTTATGTCATTCTTGCATTTGAATTTCTTTTGTGGTAGATAAAAAGGTCTAAAAATTACTTGAGCAGCAATGCCGGTTGGTATTAAGCAGGTATTGTCAGGTTAAAAATCCTCATTAGATTTCTTCTGATTCAGTGCTCTTATTTTCATTATATTTATTTCTTTTGGGCAACAATAATGTATTTGTTGATTGCACTAGCAAATTCTTGGATATTTCAATATTTGGGTTGCTGGTAATGCAAGGTAGCAGGTGACTTTTGGAGCATGCTTTAGGCTTAACACTTTTGTGCTTTTAAGAGCTCTCTCCCTTTGATTGTATAATCATGCCCCAAATTAATTCTCTGTGATTTCTTTCTATTCTCTTTTAGTTGTAAAGAAACTGCGTGTGACATTGAAGCATGGCTCATAACGTTGATCCCTTTTAAGATTCTCCTGTCCTTTTAGAAAGATTTGCTTTCTGGAATATTAACAGCATCCTCCTTCTCTACTTTGCATTAATTTAGTACCTTGAAATTTAGACCACTTTTCGTGTCAAGAAAGGCTATCCAAGGCTTTCTTCAGGACTTCAGTAACTGCTGCTGGACGAGTATCTCTGTCCTTATCCCCAGATGAACTCTAGCCTGAGGATCCAGAGCTGTTTTTCTGGTGCTGTTGCCAGTGTCACTTTTGTTCCACGTCTGCTGCTGTAGTAAAGTACTGCGTTGTTTGTTTATGTTGCATGTATGTTGACTCAGCTTTCACTTTAAAACAGTGCTCAAGATTTTAAAATATGTACTGGGAAATAAGAATCCTTTCTTGTGTTTTATGATACTGATAACATTTTAACAAAGCTGTGTTGAGTAAAAGAAATATTCCTGTGTTCTGTTACAGGTTTTGGGATTTGAAGTTGATACGGTGAACTCTGTCCAGTTTTCAAACCATACAGGTAAAACTTTACACGTGTCTTCAGATACCACTCCACAGTCACTGAACTCTACTCAACATGTGGCTTGCCTCGTCACATGACAGTGGGAGATCAGTCTTATGTTTTTATTCACATTTTCAGGATATAGGACAGAAATGTAACTTTCGTGTTTGGAAAGTCTGGATCCAGAAGTCTGGATTTGGAATTAGGGCATGATATGATGTGATAATGTCCTGCTTTGCTACTTCAGAGTGTGAGTTTCTTTTGTTGGGCAGTAATCTAATTAACTCAGACAGTGAAATAACACAAATACAGCCATCTGTGCAGGCAGGCCTGTGAACGGGGGAGTCTTCACTACTGTTTTCTGTGCATTATGGCTCCATGATACTCATAATCATATTACCAACCCAAACATCAGAAGAATACTGAGCTAGATGCAATGTTTCCTCTCTTTATGTGCCCACCCAGATGACTAGCAAGTATCCTGAAATTACATTCTGGAGGGAGGAAGGTAGGTGGTGTGTTAGCACATTAAGGTGTATTATTACTTGAGTTCTAAGCCTGAACATGATGCACTCAAACAATACTTTAAGATTTCCTAACACTCACAGTGCCAGATGACTTTATTCTTCGAAAGAAAACTGAAATTTATGGTTTATTTTAGCAATACCCTTCACTCATAAAGGAGCTCCAAGTCACTTGCTATTTGAAACGAGAGACACATCTACTGTCATGGTGGTGGCAGGTACTCTAGATAAAGGAATTCTAAGGTTATCTTAAAAAAAATAATCCAGGAACAAATTCTGACTTAAGAATCTTTTGAAAAGAGCAAAAATTGTTTCTGATAAAAAAAAATACTAGAAAAGTATCTCAACATTTGTCTCACAGATACAGCTCTATTAATAAACTGCAAGTTTTTGGAACAGAGCATACCAGAAGGTCTCTGTCCTCTCTTACTATGTTGAGCTCCACACAGCTTTCCAAAGGTTCTAAGGGGTTCCTGTCATGGAAGGAATTTAGTGTCACCTTGGGAAGAAGAAATGAATGATTCAAAGGTAGCTAGAAATTCGTTTCTGCTTACTGAGGAAAGGCATGAGAGAGGTAATAATTAAACAAGGTGTGAGGGTCTTTTCCTGCCTGAGGCAAAAAGGTGCTTATTTTGCTTGTACCCTTTGGCACAGTACGAAGGTTCTCTTATTTATTTTTTTTTTAAGAGATACGTAGTTGTGGCTTATGTTTCTTTAATGTACTTAGTTTGGGATTCTTTCTTGTTTAGATTTTGATAGCTGGGTAAAACTATTATAATCTTCCAGAAATTAAGCAATTTTTTCACATGAAATAACTCAGTGCTCAGAATGGATGAACACCTGTCGTTTGTTGGCTTTCAGTTTCAAGATTAAATCAGCTTTATAGGGCGTTAAAAGAGCTTAATAGAGGTTTTATTGGACCATAAATTGAATGTGTTTGAAGGTAGGAAAATTACATTACCAGTAGGATAGTAGGATGACCAAGTTCATAGAAAAGAAGGAAGATGTTTTTGTTTAGTATCCCAGGTGGAGAAAGGTTACCAGTGCTTCATTCAAATGAATGTCAAACAATGAAGATATAGAGGAAACAAGAAATTAGTGATTTCTGCCCTCCTCCCCCCATAAGGAGGCCTAATTGAACATCCCCAAACTATAAATGTCTCAGAGACCTTGAGTCTTTAAAATATTTGGAACTTTTATTTTGTCTCCTGGTGTTTAGGAGTCACATTATTTATTCCCTTTTATGACAAGTCTGGTTTTCTAACACTGGAGTTTTTCCATTAAATCCTTTCTACCCTTTCTTAAAATGAAGGACAGATTATAAGCCCAGTGACTTTGCACCTCCTCTTTGAGAGTGGCATGTAGGAACACGTGATGTCCTCATACAAACACTTTCCCCAGTTTGAACATTTACACATGCCTTCACACAAACTTGTACTAGTGCCCGCAAATCAGTGTGTGCCACTGCAGGGATTAATGAACAGAAACTTGCCGTGCTGGGTTGTGGCTTGTGTCTGGAGCAGTGCCTCAATACACATAGAAACACAGAATATCTTTTATGGCTTGGAAGGGACCTTAAAGATCATCTAGTTCCACCCCTCCTGCCATGGGCAGGAACACCTCCCACTAGACCAGGTTGCTCAAAGCCCAATCCAGCCTGGTCTTGACCATTTCCAGGAATGTGGCAGCCACAGGTTCCCTGGGTAACCTGTTCCAGTGTCATCTCCACCCTCATAGTGAAAAATTTCTTCCTAATATCCAATCTAAATCTCTCCTCTTTCGCTTTAAAATCATTACCCCTTGTCCTATCGCTACACACCCTCATAAAGTGTCACTCTCCATCTCTCCTGTAAGCCCCCTTTAGGGACTGGAAGGCCACTATAAGGTCTCCCTGGGGGCTTCTCTTCTCCAGGCTGAACAGCCCCAACTCTCTTAGTCTGTCTTCAGTCTTCTCCAGGCTGAACAGCCCCAACCCTCTTAGTCTGTCTTCAGAGGACAGGTGCTCCAACCCTCTGATCATCTTCTTGGCCCTCCTCTGGACATGCTTCAACAGGTCCATGTCCTTCTTGTGGTGGGGGCTTCAGACCTGGTAGCAGTTCTCCAGTACCCTCATGAGAGGGTACCCTCATGAGAGCAGTACCCTCATGAGAGGGTAGCGGGGGGCTTCAGACCTGGTAGCAGTTCTCCAGGTGGGGTCTTATGAGAGGGCAGAATCGCTTCCCTCAACCTGCTGGCCAGGGATGAAATGGTGAAGATAACTTGATTTTCCTAAGAGAAAAAGATTTTATGAAAACCCTTTCTGTGATCATCTTTTAAGCTGAAGGGCAATTTTTTGCTTCAAAATCTGTGAACTCTAGTTTCTAAAAGAATGGGATACACCAGAGGGGGCACAGGTAACAAAGTGTGTGAGGTTTCAGACATGGCTTACTTTCTTTCCCCATCCTTTACTTTAAACCTGGTCTTGTCAGCAAAAGATAAAATGCAGAGAGAATTTATGACTAATAGGCTTTCTTTGGTGAGTCATTATTGCCTTTTTCCCCCCCATTTTTAAATTAGTAAGATACCACAGGCCTCTTTCTGCTGACTCCTGCTCAGAAAATTCAGCCTTCTTTAATCTCTGATAATCCTGAAATTCGGAAAATGTGCTTTAAATCAGTCCCCCTGGGAGAACAGTTTGTCATGTTGGTTCGTGAGGAACTTTTATGATTAGAGTGACTCACCCTTGAATGGCATCATGCTTCATGTACAAATAAAAGAAGCTGTCATGCAACCTACAAAGATTCTGTGCTTTTTATTCTATTTTACTGTATTGTTTGCAGAAGCATCTCATAGTGTGATATGAAAAAAATAAAAATCAAAATTCTTTTTAATGTGTCAGTGATTTTTTTTTTTTGGGGGTGCATTTTTAATTCTTCAGTGATTTCCATTTTTGTTTTTAACTGACAGGTGAATGGTAAGCATATAATGTACTTTGCCATCCAAACCTTCCCTTTGAAATGCTCCAAAAAAAATAGCCTGTTCTTTTTCTGTTCCTTTTTATTTTTAAGCAAAGCACTTTTGGACTTCCACTTACTGGGTGTGTAGTGGGTGGTTGAGTTGGCTGGTAGGCCTAACACATAAGAAATTATAATTATGTCTCACTGATGTGATTCTTCACAGTCACTCACACCTGTGCAGTGTGGGACAAAAAGAAAAGATCTCAGCTCGTGCCTAATGCTGGTAGTATTTTACTCCCACACTGACCAGCAGTAAAAAATCTGCTGGAGATTTTGGTACTGTATTTCTGGTTTTATTGAAGCTGGCAGCTGAAGATTTAAGTCATGTGTTTAGGCCAGGTTGTCTGCCAGAGTTTGTATGCCAATTTTGTGGCACAGCTGGGACCAGATTGCCTGCCCATCATGTGCCTTAAACAGTGGATCTTTCTTCCTTTATCCCATGTAAAATACTTGATTGCTGAAGCCGCTTGGAATAGTTTTGCAGGGAACACCACAGGAGGAACTCAAAACCTCAGAACAGAATGTTCTGGCTTGAAAAACAAAGAAATCTTAGATGCTTTGCTATACTTAAATGGTAGTTTGTTTTTTGTTTTGGGTTTTGTTTTGGTGGGTTTTTTTTCCTTCTAGTATGCCTGGGATTTTTATTCTTTTTTTTTTCCTTGTTAATGAAAGTAACTAAGAGGCTTATAAATGCATTCCAAAGGAGGAAAAAAAATGCCAGTGGAGGAAGACAAGAAAGAAAAGTATATATATTCACCTTGGGTACAGTATTAGCTGCCTCTCTTGGCTGTGGTGTTTTTTTTTCTTACAGATGAATGAAGACATTTCCTTGGAGGCTAATGAATGTGTTTGTTGTTTTAGAAGGATAAGTGACAAGAGGCATTGTCGTATCTCACCTGCTTTTCATTCCCTTATCTGCTTAAAAGCAAATATATAACACTTAATTGCAATTAAAGACCATAACACAGATAAGCAGAAGGGGTATAATATGTTTAAATATTTATCTTCCTCTATGTGTTTAAAATTATTACTAATCTGGGAGACTAATGCAGCCACTTTAAGCCAAGTGCAGTTTGGAGAGCTGTGTATCATAATTTGCCATCTTCTCTCTGCTCTCTCAGTGCTGGACTGAGAGGAATTATTTGGGGTGTATCATAATTTGCCATCTTCTCTCTGCTCCAGCACTGAGTCCAGCACTGAGAGGAATTATTTGGGCGTTTTGTAACCAAAACAAAGACAACTCAGCTTTCTTCCTCTGTAGAAAATACAAGACAAGATCTCACCTTAATATCGAAGATAAACAGTAATAATTTGATCCAACTGCAATGCCTAAGAAGCTCTGTAGTCTCCAAATGGGATGTTTGGCAACTTGACAATGTTGTTTTGCCAAGTATAAACTTGAAACTCATTCTTTAGTTTTCTTAGCTGTGGTTCTTGTATAATGTGTGCAAATAGCCAGGTACTGTGAGACTTTGAACTTCTGTATTGTTGAGTGACACAGTGAAAATACGGCTGCGGAGTAGGAGTGGGCAGTTAAGCAGAAGATCTTAAATTTCCTCTTGCTGTTTTTCAGATATTCATATTTAGTGGTGTAGGCATAGGGATAATGTTTCTAGGAAGCTGACTTTGAAATGGTCAGGTCTTGCAAGGCAGCTCTGGGCCTTCAAACATGCGCGTTGCCAGGTGAGTTCTTAGGTCTAGCTGAGGAAGGCAGCAATTCCTCGTTATCATCCTTCACTGCATCCACTCAGCTTTCCCCTAAAGCCAGTTAGTTGGACCTCGCATGTTTAAGCTTGCAGTTGGCATTCCCTGATGACTAGCTCTGTGATCAGGGCTATGCAGTGTTTTTCTGACCACACAGTATCTGTCTTGACTTTTTGCCATTACTCTTTCAAGACAGTCCCTCTCCCTCTTCCTGGCACCCCAAGGTACCCATTGTCCAGTTAGTGAAACCATTTTTGAATATGAGTAACTGGCTTTTTATTCGGTCCCTCTACAGAAGCTGCTTTTCGGTTGTATATCGCACCAGGAGAGTAGGATAAATGCAGGGTAGTGGGATTTGCCTGTTGTTCATCAGGTTACATGAAGTTACCCTGGGAAGAGGGCTTAGGGTAGTTTCCATCTTAATGCCAGTTCTGATTTTGTTTCTTCTTACTCGACAACAGTTCAGCTCCTCATGAAGTCACAGTTCTCTGCAGATCCAGTGAAGGCATTGACCTTTTCCTTCAGTCTGAATAGCTGGGGCTTCCCTGAGAGCTTCCCTAGGGCTTTTTTTTTCTTCTTCTTTTTTTTCTCTCATGTGATTAGAATTTAGATTGTATTACATGTGTTACCAGGTGGTAAAGAGAGTCCTCTAGATGCCCTTGGAAGTCATTGCTATGGAGTTCAGATACGGTCCCTGCCTGACATGAGTAATTTACCAATTCCTGAGCTAAGCTGGGCTGCTACCTAACACTTTGTTTCTGCGTTTATTTCCCTCCCTCAGCAGAGGATCAGTGTGATATGGACCCTGTGCATTGGCAGTTTAACACAGCTTGACATAGGAAGGTGAGCTTTCAGTTAAATAGTGAATGTGCAGGATCCCTCTGTAGAAATGGCTCCCAAGAGTACCTAGATTGTCTGGACAATCTGTCATAGTTATTTTTATGGCCATGTGTAAGATGAATGACTGCTCTTTTGCCAGCTGACCTTGATTCTGGGTGAAAACTGCACTCAGTTTCATTGATGGGCACAATGAAATAAAAAGGACTCTTTTGTCTCCCTTTATGGACTGGCTTTGCAGTGCTAACAGAAGTAGAGATTTGGGAAAGGAGAGGGCAGATTATTTCTCTCTGAAGCTGCAAATGTGACAGAACAAATATCTGCATGTGTTAAGTAAGTTGAATACTTGAGTTGGTTGGAGTCCAGGGTTTCTTGGGGCTGGACGTGTACCTAGGTATTAGGCATTGCCACTTTGAATATCACTGTGTTCTCAAGTGGAACTACAGCCCTAACATTCGTGAATCCTTCACTTTGTCCGTTTCTTCACAGAGACTTTTTAAAAAGCGTTTGCTGGGGAGAAAATTGTAGTGGCTGATATGAGTCAGTCCCCCAGCCAGCTGGCAGCGAGTCGTGTTTTAGAGCCTAGGCCTTCGTGAGCCGAGGAGAACAAAATGATCCATCTGCTCACCCTACTGTGGGTGTATTTGCATTCATAAGAAGGAAAACTGAAAAATGTGCTTATCCTAGGCTGTAGGCACCTTTTGGCAGTTACTCTAATAACACAGTTTAGAGTGATAATCAAAGCCAACAGTTTTTATCACACAATACTCTAACTCCGAGAAGTTTAAACAAACAGAATACCATTGTCTTCACACAGGGGTGATGTGGAAGAAGATGCTTCATTTAACATTTCACTTTTCCTAAATTCAGTTAATAACAAGATAAGCTTTTTAACGAACTCTGAACTTCTGGATGTTGGAAGAGTTAAACTGTGGGTGCTTCGTGTGGTGTCCTGGAGGAAGACCCGTTCTTATAAAAAGGCAGTGATGGCTGCCATGTAGATGGGTAGGTTTTGATGACGAGGTGCAAGATGCACCATTCAGCAAATGTTTAGGGTCTGTCAAGGAAGGTTTTTCCTATTTTTCTTTTTTCCTTGAAGTTGACTGCCATGGAGCTTGGTCCATTGTTTGCTGAGATCAGTTCAGTTTCTCCCAAGTAACTTCACCTTCCATTCGCTTCTCAGCGAAGAATATTGGCTTGTAATTTTTAGAGGTCATTCAAGGCTAATAGTGTATGAGTATTATTTGTCTGTTTATAGTGTCTTTCTGATACTCATTTTATTCTTCCAGGATCCTCAGCTATTTTTTGAAGAAAATCTGTCAGATGGCATTGTATGTTTAAAGAGCAGCCATGAAAACGTTCTGCTGTGGTCACTCTGTTCGTGCAGGTCCCATGTCTGATGGGTGCAGCAGTGCTGCATACATGTGTCCAGAAAGATCCATAAGCATGTTTAAGCTTGTCATTTAGCTGTCAATCTTTTTTTTTAATAGTATAAAATATCAAATTATACTGACACCCTCCTCCAGTGGAGTCTAAAACACATGTTTGTCCCCTTCCACACAGGAAAGGGATAGTTGTATAGGCTCCATGGGAAAACTTGCAGGAGCTTGTGTGTGCTCTGCTCGATTTGCTGATAAATGGACCGTCTCAAACTCCAGTGTAGTCACTGCAGTTCCTTTGGGAAACAGAGCTGCTAAGAAGTTGTTGAACACATTAACTGTTCTGCTGACAGCAGCTTTCATTCGTGTTTTACAGAAGAGGAGGTGGAAATGCTTTCTGGTGCTGATATCTGATATGGTTCCTCCAAGTTTTAAATCTGTGTGATCCTAAATAGAAAATCTAGCTCATGAAAAATTATCTGGTATTTACTTTGCAGGTTATGCCCACTGGAAGGGTCAGGTTTTAAATTCAGATGAACTTCACGAACTGTATGAAGGACTTAAGCTGAACATGGTCAACCGGTATGATTATGTACTCACAGGTAAGAAGAGCTTGTTCCTTGGAGCTTCCATGAGATGTAAACAAAAGTAAAGAAACATAAACCATATTCCTTCTTGTTCCAAACCTCCAATCCTCCAATTCCTCCTGCAATGTCATCTGTTATATGAGGGTCTTAGCTGCCCAGACTGTTTAGTTTGAAACAGCAAGTGTTCTCCAGCCCAAAGGCTGTGGTTGGGTGGGTAAATTTGATCCCCTTGTATAGCTTACAGACTGTACAGGTCTGTCATGTATAGGCTTAATTAACATTTTGGGAGTGCCTCTACTGAATAAAAATAATGAGAAATGTCAGAGTAATATTTTTAAATTTACTCTGAAGACATGAGAGTTTAACCCTTTCTCCTAAATTTGCAGTATTAGCACTCTGCAGTATTATGGCATGATTTTATACATGGTTGTCTGTCCTTGTTTGTTTTTTCTGCTTTAAGGGATGACATTTTGGATACAGAGCAAAGCATAAGCAGGGTTGGATTTTGGTTTTGACTCTGTCATATCTCTTGATTTTTTTGGTCTTGTTACTACATAGGTCCTCTAAGTGGATGCAGTTCTGCAGGACATAATGACTGTGCAGTGTTTTCCTTTGCTTGCCACTAGGTGCAAAGTGTTTATAAATATAGGCAAAGAGAACTTCTTGTAGAATGCTTTATAGAAAGAAGAGATTCTGTGTGCAGTTTTTATTAAAAACTGCCTCTCATCCACTTCCTGCTTCCCAGATGTAGATTAGTGATTGGATTTCACCTCAGTAAGAATATGCGTCCAGTTTAGGGAGCTTGTTCCTTGGAGCTTCCATGAGATGTAAACAAAAGTAAAGAAACATAAACCATATTCCTTCTTTTTCCAAACCTCCAATCCTCTGATTCCTCCTGCAATGTCATCTGCTACATTAGGGTCTTAGCTGCCCACGGTAAGAAGAGCTTGTTCCTTGGAGCTTCCATGAGATGTAAACAAAAGTAAAGAAACATAAACCATATTCCTTCTTGTTCCAAACCTCCAATCCTCCAATTCCTCCTGCAATGTCATCTGTTATATGAGGGTCTTAGCTGCCCAGACTGTTTAGTTTGAAACAGCAAGTGTTCTCCAGCCCAAAGGCTGTGGTTGGGTGGGTAAATTTGATCCCCTTGTATAGCTTACAGACTGTACAGGTCTGTCATGTATAGGCTTAATTAACATTTTGGGAGTGCCTCTACTGAATAAAAATAATGAGAAATGTCAGAGTAATATTTTTAAATTTACTCTGAAGACATGAGAGTTTAACCCTTTCTCCTAAATTTGCAGTATTAGCACTCTGCAGTATTATGGCATGATTTTATACATGGTTGTCTGTCCTTGTTTGTTTTTTCTGCTTTAAGGGATGACATTTTGGATACAGAGCAAAGCATAAGCAGGGTTGGATTTTGGTTTTGACTCTGTCATATCTCTTGATTTTTTTGGTCTTGTTACTACATAGGTCCTCTAAGTGGATGCAGTTCTGCAGGACATAATGACTGTGCAGTGTTTTCCTTTGCTTGCCACTAGGTGCAAAGTGTTTATAAATATAGGCAAAGAGAACTTCTTGTAGAATGCTTTATAGAAAGAAGAGATTCTGTGTGCAGTTTTTATTAAAAACTGCCTCTCATCCACTTCCTGCTTCCCAGATGTAGATTAGTGATTGGATTTCACCTCAGTAAGAATATGCGTCCAGTTTAGGTTACAGTATCAATTTTTTATAGCAGTGAACAGTCACTTTTTAAACATAAACAGAAATAGATAACCAGATTTGACTTATTTCATGGCTTCCACATCTAGGAAACTGCTTTAAACACAAGGAAAAATGGAGACTTTAAGCATATGGATTATAACCCCAAAGCAGTCATTCTGGCTTGAAGGGTGTGGTGTGTCTGAAGAGTTATTGTCAGTTCTTTTTCAGGGAATATCTCCATAGTAAAGGAGACTAATTAGAAAATAGACTGAACTAACATTAAGAAATTAATTTCACCATAAATGGGTTCTTTGTGATTTGAGAAATGGACAAACACTCTTTCCTTGAAAGAACTCACACAGAGGACATTTCCAGGAAAAGCACACTGTATTACAGGACTTCTTAGGAGATGTTCATATGTACAACTTGTAAATAATGTTTGAGTATTCTTTTAGCTGAAATGTTCCTTTTTTATTTTACTTTCAATTCTTGGAAGAGACTCCAATTCCTTTACTATCACTGTCTTGTACTGGCAAAATTAATGTAAAAGATTAAAAATGGTAGAAGGAAAAGTAGAAATCTTCAGCAAAAAGAAATTTTGGAGGAAAAAAAGGAATATTTATTAATATGCCTTTTAGAATAGGATTTGTGGGTAGATGGGTCAGTGTGGTGTTCATGTTTGTTTAAAAATGCCATTCAGCGTAACTGTTTTCATTATGAACAAAAAGAAGACATGGGTAGAAATGGCACTAATTTATTAAGATCTAATAAGTGTTCAGTTGTGCTGTAGCTGAACTTCAAATTCAGTTGTTTTCAGGACAGATTTTTCTCTTCAGACAGGAACAGCCATTCACTTTAGTAAACAACTGTACTTTTTACCTCCACCAACCTGGGTATGATTATTCAAACACCAAAACCAAATTAATTTCTCAGCAGATGGGATTTGACTGTAATTGTATGTCTGACTGTAGATAACACGGCTGAGATAGAAATTATTATTTTTAGGCTGATTATACAAAATAACACTTCATTAACACTTATAACAGTTACTTGTAGATCTTCATGTATTTGTTTCATTTACAGTAAAACACTCAAGGTAAGCGATAAACTCCAGTATAATTTTTTTGAGACACTTCTGTCAATAATGTTACTCACACTCTGTTTGTTTTTTCAACCAGTCCACCATCACAGATCTTTTTAGACAAAAATCTTTGCTTGGCTTTTTTGACTGATTATCTGCATTTCATAAGTGTAAGACAAAACATTATGGCCAAAAATCTTGGAAGTTTTTTCCATTTATCCACAATATCTAAGAATTTATCTACTTTTGGGGTTAAAAAAACCCAAAACAACCACAACATGTATTTTTAAATATTTTAGTAGAGTGGGCGTTTCCAAGCTGAAGGTTTGAAGAAGCTACCTTGCTAAAAATAGTGCTATTAAATGAACTAAAATAAATTAAAATCAAATTATTAATTAATAAACATTGTAAATAAAGTTAAAACATAACTATATACATAACTATCTATAAAGTAAAGAAATTAATGATTAAATAGTAATACTGTGGTGCTAGCATTACGATTAGGCCATTCAGATACAGATCTTATAACTTATTTCCAGCTTACTTCAATGCTAAGCCTAAAAATAGGAATTTTATTGGTATATTGACCACTGCTCTAAAATAGTCAAGATTAATTCTTCATTGCATTGGTGTGTTGGACTGTATCAGCATGAAGATTAATAATTATAAAAAGACTACTTCAAACCAGAGTATGAGAAAAGTATATGGAATTTAAAATATTTCTTACTACATGATAAACAGTACTGATTTGGACTGCTGTTTTGAAGAAAATGAATGTTTTTTCCATTCAGCCTGACCTTTTTGTATATTTGTTCAAGCATTTTGAAGTTGTATGAACCTTTCATATATAACCTACTTAGTAAATGGATTTTTAAGGTTATATTTGTACTTGTGCAAGCACTGTTTGAATTTGTCTTCCACCTATTATTCCTGAATGAAATACGAAAACACCTTTCATTGTTCCAAAGAATGAGAAGTATGCACCATTCCTATCCAAAACTAAAAAAATAAAAAAGCGTTCATGAAAATAGACTTCAAAAGTGTCTTTTTTTTTTCCCCGAAGGGTATACAAGAGACACATCGTTTCTTGCAATGGTGGTGGATATTGTCCAGGAGTTGAAGCAACAGAATTCTAACCTAGTATATGGTAAGGATGTGTATTACAGTCCTTTCTGCTTCATCATTTTATGCACCCATAATTTTCATGTTTTAGGATCAAAATGCTGTTAGGACGTTACCCAGCATTTCACAACCTTCTTGTGCTCTGGTCAGGCTGGGACTAGCTGAGGCTCCAGTGAAGGTTCATTTCAGCATTGCTTAAGTGTTGAGGGAGTTGCTTTTTTTTGGCTGTCTAATGTTCTGCCTTTCAGTATGTTTCTTGCATTATGCTTCGCAAAGGAGAATGCACCTTGAGGCCTGATGGTCTGTATCAAAGAAGGGCTTGTAAAATCCCAGCTGGCTGCTGCTGTTCGTAGCTCAGAGGCACAGGCTGTAAGTGCTGATAGCTGAAGCTGCTCCTTGATTTCCAAGTCAGTCAAAAGCAGGATGGACTCTCCTGTGTTGCCCTGGCGTGATTCCATGTTACATCCCAGAAAAAGCATCTTACTGTGCCTTATAAGCTTCATAATTTAGCTTAAACTCCAAGGCTTTTTTGACTCTGGTGTCCTCTGCTAAGATTGCCTAGGAGCACTCAAAGAACAATGGACTCTAGCAACTGTTCTCATTAACGTGTCATGTCAGGCTTAAACCTGTAAGAAAAGATTCTCCTCTTTTCCTTCCTGACTCTCTGAGTGTTTCAGGACTTTAGAACGCAACCAGCGTAGGCCTCAACTGAGCAAAATGTTTAGAGTGACAGGGCAAAGTCAGTGGGGATTTAGTGGAATAAAAAGCTGTGAATAATGGTTTGAACCTGTCATCTTCAGGTTCAGTAAACTGTGGTCAGAAAATATCTACAATGGTTTGCAGGATTTGCAATGTGTAATACCGTGGAGTGTGGTATCTGACTTAGCAAAGCACATTTCTTATTTAGAAAAGTGTAGCAGATCCATCTTCATGAGCTCGGGTTTTGTTGCTTTTTAGCCTTTATTAACACTGTTGGATTGTCAGGTTCTCCAGAGCCACGTGCTAGACAGTGAAAGCTGAAAACTCTGTTGGAGTATGAGCAGAAAAAAATATCTAGCTGTATAGAACAGGAAGGAAGTGGTCAGAGAACACTGCTAGGCTTCCAAGATCCTTTCTATTTATTAAGTATATTATAATGTAAGGAAAATACTTTTAAAATCTAAAATAAATTACCCTCTTTTTATTCATAGAAACTTCCTTAAATACTGGTTGGACATTGATTTGATACCTTTGGATTTGAATTTCTTTTTTTATCTTGCTATAAGTTCTTTTCATACAATGAACAATGTTCCTTTTTGAAGTATAAGGCTACTTTGAAACTGAAGGCATTTGGAATGTGTTGTTAATGCCACTGATGATTCAGAACCTGTGCCAAACGTGTTAATATTATTACACCAAGTATGAGTTTATTTACTTTGTCATGGGATTTTCTTCTTGTTTCGTTACAACACCCATAATTTTTATGTGTATACACAGATTTTGGTGTGTATGTTTGGCACCTATTTTTTTACCCTAAAGTAAAAATAGGACTCTCTTCACAGCTATTAGGTTCTTCCACATTTCTTCCCAACCATACTAGTATTGTAGAGTTTTGGGATGGGGAATGAAGGGTTCTCGGCATTTTTTGTAAAAAAAAAAATAAAAAATTAAAAAAAAAAATGCCCTTTTACTCCCAGCAGTTAGACCCTCTCATCCCCATCACCTTCAGACATAACAACATAGAAGCAGGTAGAAGAGGGTGACTTCAACCCTTTGACAACTGTTTAAGAAATACGGCCTATTCTTTCAGCATTGGAAGCACCAGTTAAAAATTTCAGTTTGTGCTGTAAGAGCTGAGAGAGTATATAAGCTATCAGGTAGTCAATGCTGTTACTTAGCCACTAATGTTACCTGAAACTTTTTCCTCCCACCAGGGTCTCTATAACTGCACCCCATTTCTAAAGCTATATTTATTCTGTTACAGTATGCGATCCAGTGATGGGTGACAAATGGAATGGAGAAGGCTCTATGGTTAGTACTTATCTGTTTGGATTCTTTGTATAGTGAATACCTGCCATGTAAAAAGGTATAAAAATTTATTGATTTTTAAATACCAAAACTAAGCTACTTTACTTAAGTGTGGCTTTGGATCCCGGCATCAAGTAAGTTTGTACTTTAATTTCCTGTATTTGAAGGAGCTTAGTATCTGGAAAGAATTATGGCTGAAAGAATTATGGCCTGGGATTATTTCTAACTTTCTGCTGAGAGAACAGGTGGGATACAGACCCTGTCTGCAAGAAAATATCCCCCTGCTCCCCCATTTGTCTCACTGGAGTTCCCTCATCTTCTGTCAAGAGCTTTGTTTTGGCTGGTAGCCTGGCTGGCTTTGTCAGTGCTGGTGTGAATTGACATAGCACTTGAACCTAAATGAAGATGACTTATTTCATGTGAGATCCAACAGCTGTTAGGCATCAGGCTGTGATCAGTGACAGAAAGGTTCTGTGTGCCAATACCAGACTTGCACACTGACAAAGAAACATTTGGTTTTGATCACAACTAGCAAATAATTTCAGTAAAAATGCAATGTGGGAAGGCATCAGCAATAATGATATTTTATGTTTTCTTCTCCTTTAGCTAGTCATGCACTATGAATTCCTCTTTATCCTTGTACCTTTTTACAGTTTACCTCCTCATAAAACATCACATGAAGTAGCACTTAGTAATAAATTTCCCATTGCTTTTGTGTTCTATTCTTTCATTTTATGTTCGTTGCAATATTTCGTGTTCTTGGCTTTTTCTAACAAGGCAGTGATGTAGTTGCTGTAGAGTCACCTTGCAAAGTGGGAGAAGTCATAACCATGGGCCTGCCTATGTCTTTTGGATGGAAGATAAGGCAGATGAACGAGGAGGAGAATATTTAACATGCAACTCACCAACTTATTCCTGCCATAAAAAGTAATAAAATCATTAGTTAAAATGCCTTGGTTTAGACGTGACCTAGGGTCCCTGTGACATGATCACTTCACCATGGCTGCACGAGTGAGCTCAGTATTGGTATGATGGGTGTTCTGGTAGCATATAGTGGTTAACACTATGGCAGGGTTGTACCTCTTCCTGATACAATCAGAATGGGAGACAGTAGCACATGTATACGTGCACCTTCTCAACAGAGAAAATGAAACATAGACGAAAGTGGGTATTAATCCCAATTTAGCAAATGGTTTCTGCCAGAGAATACCAGCTACTAGTAAACAATGAACTTTTATTAAAGGTTTTGTTAAAATGAGTTACAGAGCAACTCAGGAAGGTGAGGTGACCATCAAGGCCAGGCTGGATGAGGCTTTAAGCAACCTGGTCTAGTGGGGGGTGTCCCTGCCCATGGCAGGGGGGTTGGAACTCAATTATCTTTAAGGTGTCTTCCAAATCTAACTACTCTATGATTCTATGACCTTGTGCCCATGTAACCTGAACTCCTAGCGGAGCTCCAGTGTGTACCAAAACAGCTGATGCTTTTCAGCTTTGAATCTGAAGAGCATACAGGCTGGTGGCTCCTGTTATGTCTAAATGTATGTCACCTGCTTAGATAACCAGTCTCCCTTGCTGATGGGCCTTGTTTAGCTTATTTAGATGGGATAGAGGTGGAACAGACAGGCAGAAGGGGGAGCATCGGCCCTCGTTACTTAAAGAGCTGATTCTGCAGGCAGCGAAGTATGCTAGGGTTTTGCTAGGCTTGAGTGGAACACGAGCAAAGTATTCTTTATGTCCTTACTGGAACTGCTTTATAGATTAAGTTGTACTGAACAAATTACAAATCTGGTTCCCGTTCACGCACATGGATGTACCACGCAGACTAGAAATACTGCAGTGACAGGAGGAGGCAAAATAAAGCATCACATGGATATTACCTGTTCCTAAGCCCCGCAGTGCAACACAGTCAATGTGGACACTCAGTGCTGCAGCAAAGGGCCTCTGTATAATTGGTACAACAACAAAGTAGTTTCATCTGGAAGTAAAAACATGAGAAAAGGTTCCCTGTGTTGGGACACTATATTTCCTCATGCTGTTGTGTCACCTTGGCAAGAGAACCCAGAGAGAACCCTTGGCAAGGGAACCCAAAAGTTCTTCAACCAGGCGCTACTTCATTTTAATGCTGCCAGTTTAGGCCTGTCTGCTTAGCAGGGCTTCCGTGGCCTCCAGTGAAAGAAGGGCTGTTGGTTGTACTGTCACCAGCTGGAGGACGCACTGCCACTTCGGTTACCGCTGCGTAACAGTACATGGGGAGCTGTCAGGTTACTCGGTGACAGCATGAGTGGTCCTTGAGGGAAGGAGAGTTGCAGTCCCACATCTCAGATGCTGCTGACAACATTTGATACCGTTTCTTCTCCCACAGTATGTGCCCAAGGATCTTCTCCCAGTCTACAGGGACAAAGTTGTACCTGTTGCGGATATAATTACTCCCAACCAGTTTGAAGCTGAGTAAGTACCTACCTCCTTTTGTAGCCAAATAATGTTGGGGATGAAAGCAGGGTAGACCGATACCCATTCTTTTATTTACCTCATGCCCCTACTGTCTACATAACTGGGACTCTTTGGTCAGGAGATTATCTGTTGTGATACATCACAGGCTGTCCCCCTAAGGGCAGGGAGCAGCTGCGTGGGAGGTGGAGAGAAGACATTTGTGAGGGAATTTTATGATACAGGGATCTCTACAGGAGGCAGGTTAGGACTGACGTGAGTCAGCTTCAGAAGCACTGTGTGTGTGTGCAACTAACTTGTGAAGGCAGTGGTCTGGTACAGCAGACCACATAGCTACAAACCATTTAGGCCAGCCCAAGCTTTCCTTCTTTCAAAGAGTGAACAAAGCAGTCGTTGCCTGGAGAACTTACGCTTTTTTAAGATTTCTGTTTCATTCTCAGGTTACTCACGGGCAGGAAGATTCACACAGAAAAAGAAGCTCTAGAGGTAAGTAGGCAAGGGGTGGGATGTGTAAGGTAGGATGTATTCCTGCCTGCAATCCTGCACTTCGCCGTTTGTCTTTAACCTTGAAGTCACTTTGGCCTCCATCCTATTTCTCCAACCTGCATGCGTGGCTCCCTCTGCTGTCCACCTGTGGGTCTTGCAGCACCAACGCTGAGCGCTGGGACAACCGTTTCTCATCCTCCCCTAGAGACTGTTTGCAAGTAGGAGAGCTTCCGAGCAAACTCTTACAAAGATCTGATTGAATGCCCCGAATCTCCACTTGACAGTGTTTGCTGGTGCTCTGTTTCTCTTCCTTAAATTGACTCGGAGAGGAGGAGACCTGGGTTGCAAAAGGATAGATTGCATAGATGAGATGGCCTCGGGTACTTCTTGCTGGAAGACAGAGCAATCCACAGCACTGATAGCAGCTGTCATCACCATACAGGAATGATAGATGGACCGAAAATATGCTGCATTGAGGTGTAAGGATTTACTCTTTTACACGAACTGAAGAAAATGAAAAGCTGCAGGACTTGGTGATGAAGGACAAAATAGGAATATGGTTTTACTGTTGTTTTGGGAAGGGCTGAGCTCTTTGTTTTGTTGCCTAGTCAAGTGCTTTCATAATCGACTCATGTAATTTCTTCCAGTTTGGTTTTAAACTTCAAAGAAACACAAAATCTTTAAACAAACAGCAGCTGCAGTGGCACCCTGGAGAGTAACTGGGGTCTGTCAACGCAAATGTTTGTTATTTTTTTTTTGTCCTCCACCAATGTCATGAAATATGGCAGGAAGCAGCTCCAAATATCTCAGTTCTTTCAAATTCCCTCCCCACCCTGAGTTTTACATTACCCCACTGTGCTGGGCAAGGGTGATGAACTGTGCTTCATGCCATTAGCTGCTAACTGTAACTCAATTCTTCTATTCTCATCCTCGCCAGTGCAACCACAGTCTTGAGAACAACACTGTTAGCTGAGCAACCATTAGTTTTAAGTTTGCATATTTCAGCTGTAAAGTTGCATGTGCTAAACAATTTTACAAGGTAGTTTTCTCACAGTCTGTCTGATTCATGTGATAGCTTTAATTTGTGATGGGTTTTAAAAAATCTCTTGTAAAGAGATGCAATTATACTTAGGAATGGAAAATTTTTTAAAATAGTTCCTTGCAGGATATTATACTTTAATCTGTCTGTCTCCCCAGCTGCATGTCATATATAGGTCTATCCCTCTGAGTAATAATCTGTGATGGAATTTGTGCCCTTTGGAGGTGGTAGGATTTCTGTCATTGATTTCCATGGTGGCATGCTTTCATTCATTTCTTTAGCAAGAGTAGTGACAATAGTATAGGCTTCTATTTAAAAAAAATAAATAATAAAATGATGTAATATTAATGTACAAGGGGTTAAGTCCTACAACTGGAAATACTGGTGATTAGGTTCTTGGTGAATTGTGACCGATAAATGAAATTGAATTTAATGTTACTTCACAGTTTGATTATGCCAGCATATGCTGGTGGATTTTCTGCTTCTTTAAAACCCATCCAATGTCTGTGCAAAGAGTTCTGATAGTTGAAGAAACTCGGAGGCTTAGGCAAGAAAGAAAAGCAATAGAGAATTAAAAAATGGCAGAAATAAATTCTTATCATTCAGCTGCTCATGAGTCACAGCTAGCCTGAGAGGATTTTTGGTTAAACTCTTCTGGGAGAATTAATATTTTATCTGTGTTATATACTAAACTCATTATTGAAGTCATTCTTTCTTCTGTGAAATCAAAATCACTTCTGTAGCAATCAGTTGTGATGTCAGGAGTATTAATGAGTTTCTGAGGAACACACAGGGTGGAAATACACCTGCAAAGGTACATAATTTACAGGTGTAATTTGGGGTTTGGAACAGAATGAGGAGATTGAGACAGACACACTTGTGCTTCTGATTTAGTTCGTTAACTCTTTATTTTTGCTAACTCTTAAAGTAGTAGCTAAATAAGACTTCATAATCTGGAGTTACCGGCTTTCTGTCAAGTGTTTCAAGACACTACCTCAGGTGCATGTGTCTGTATGTTTGTTTTCTTATTCTTTTGATAATATGTTCTGAAAACATGATGCAGACAAGAATTCTGATCACACCTGAAATAGAGTACTCTTTTCAGAGGAGCATCCAAAGACAGTACAGGGATGCTTGTATATTTTAACCAGTGTGTACGCTTAAATACGGATATTTTGATTCCCCTATTTCAGATTAATTCCCCTAATTGAAGTGAATCATTTGAGTAGAAACTTTTTTCTCTTTAAAAAAGATGCCAAAATTAGGTGCTATGAATGATGCACGATTTAATCAACACACATTGCAGTCACTGATTCCTGCCTTTTTGCACATGAAAAGGTAATGGATATGCTCCATGCCATGGGACCAGAGACTGTGGTGATCACAAGCTCAGATCTACAGGCACCTCTAGGAAATGACTACCTAATTGCTCTGGGAAGCCACAGAAAAAGTAAGTCATGAACTCTTAAACTCTGCTTTCTTTTAAACTGGTCTGTGCTTTCAGTTACTTTTTTAAGAAGTGGTTTCATCAGACCACATGTAGTGTGTGAAAGGAGCTTAGATCCCTAAGTGAACTTCTCCTACAGTAATGGCAGAGAGCAGTAAGGATGGGGCTGCTCCCTGAGGGAAGACAAGCTGGGAGCTGTGTGTGATCATAGCACAGGCAGAGAGCGATGCCCTCACCAACAGGGCACACACAGCCCCACGGTGTCTGAATAACGTGAGCAGAACGAGGGTGAGGATGGCAGACAGGTCCCATTGACAGTCCAGTGCTCATCACAGAAGGGTTTGACAAGCCAGGTCCAAGACTCCAGATCTGGAAAATCCAATCAGTAAGTCAGGACAGCAGGGCTGCACACAGGTACACCTGCAACATAGCTCAGGCAAAGATGCTTGCGCCCGGGCCTGAGCTTCTGTGCTGCTGCTACAAAACACACCACACCAAACGCCCACCAAAAACACCGTACCCACCAACTAAACCCCACACTCAACACCTCACCATAAACCAATAACCTTGGGCACTAGAGCATGCCCTGAAGAGCCATGTCTATACGTTTCTTAAATACCTCCAGGGATGGTGACTCCACCACCTCCCTGGGCAGGCTGTTCCAGTGCCTGACCACTCTCTCAGTAAAGTAGTTCTTTCTAATATCTAATCTAAATCTCCCTTGCCACAACTTCAGACCATTTCCTCTGGTCTTGTCGTTCGTCCTTTGGGAGAAGAGGCCAACACCCGCCACTCTACAACCTCCTTTCAGGTAGTTGTAGAGGGCAATGAGGTCTCCCCTCAGCCTCCTCTTCTCCAAACTAAACATGCCCAGTTCCCTCAGCCTCTCCTCATAGGACTTGTTCTCCAGGCCCCTCACCAGCTTGGTGGCTCTCCTCTGGACACGCTCCAGCACTTCAATGTCTTTCCCATAGTGAGGGGCCCAAAAATGAACACAGTACTCGAGGTGAGGCCTCACCAGTGCCGAGTACAGAGGCACGATGACTTCCCTACTCCTGCTGGCCACGCTATTCTTGATACGAGCCAGGATGCCGTTGGCCTTCTTGGCCACCTGGGCACACTGCTGGCTCATGTTAAGCCGGCTGTCTACCAACACCCCCAGGTCCTTTTCTTCCGGGCAGCTTTCCAGCCACTCTTCCCCAAGCCTGTAGTGTTGCCTGGGGTTGTTGTGACCAAAATGCAGGACCCGGCACTTGGCCTTATTAAACCTCATCCCAGGTTGATCAGGGCTGTTAAAGCCCCTGGTACTGGTCCTGACAAGTAGTAGTGGTATAAAACGGGAACTTTGAGTGGTTTGAATACTTTTATGCAAAGTTACACTGTCCTGTTAGCAAATTGTTTTTCCCCTGATAGGCTTTAATATTTCCATCTGCTGCTTCTTTATATCCCCTTCTATACGGTCACCAAGACTGACTGTATTTTTGGACTGTTGCAAGATGTTTTTACTTTAGAAGAGAAGGACACATCTATGTGGGATAGTACATGATCTCGTTTCCTTGTTCATTTAAGGCATCTAAATGTGGACATGACGTTCTGGACTACTGAGAGATGAAAACAGTCTTAAAACAGATTCCGCTAAGAGTCAGTGGGTCTTAGCACTTGGTACAGGCCAGGTCTGGAACAGGTCTGGTCGTTCCAATGGGGGTTACAATATGGCACATGGATCGGATATTCTCTGCTGATGTCTACAGCTGCTCTTGTGCCTCCATGCAACCCAGAGATACTCTAGGTTATGGTTTGGGATGCCCCATCTGAGACTCGTCAGTCTCCATAAACAGGCAATTTCCTGAGCAAGCTGCTGCTGCTGTCTCAGTGAAAATAGGTGGTGCACAATCCTTCCTGAACGTGAAGGTGCTGGCTACCTGCTCCCTCTTAAGGGAGGTGTCTACAGTGTATGTTGTAAATGCTATCCCAACTTGGCAAAGTTTTGAAAGGTTGCACCTTTTAAAAGAGATGGTACAACGTTTACAATACTCCTTAGCATCTTTATGTTCCAAACAGCAAAGGAATTCAAGTCTCGCGATCGCTTTTAAATTATAGTAAATGCAATTGTATTAATTGCTGGGTCTGTTACTTAACCATCTGTCTGTGTTGTAGCTAAAGCAGATGGTACCAAGATGACACAAAGAATTCGAGTGGAGTCTCCTAAAGTGGATGCTGTCTTTGTTGGAACAGGAGACTTGTTTGCCGCTATGCTTTTGGCATGGACACATAAGCATCCAAACAATTTGAAGGTATGGGAGAAATTACTCGTCTCTCTGCAAGTTTAGACTATGTTTCTTTTTATTTATTTATTTATTTTAATTTATGGCATTATTCAAAGACTCTCTTCTTCTTTGGCTTTTTTTCCTCGCCTCAGAGGAAAAAAAGCATAATTTCCCTTTAGCCGAAATGGTTTAGCTTGTACAAGTTTGGACGGTCACACTTCAGTTACACAGATTTTGTGGTTTTGCCAAATAAGGTGTTCTGCTCTTGAGAAGGAGAGAGAGACTGCATGCATGTTTGCATGTTTGCAATTTTGTTTTTTTTTTTACCCTAACTTCATAATAAGCACTGAAAATCATTTCTCAGATCTATTTTGGGTTGTTTTTTTTCCCCTCAAGCAAGTAGAGTCCTCGATATGGATATATGGTTTGTAATACCTGTTTTGGGAGAATTAAGAGAGTCTAATTTTTTCCCAAACTCTACATTACATAGTTGTCACCCTGTTTGTGTCTTGTCATTCACGTTTGCCTCTTAATAGCAGTGGTTTTGAAATAATAATACCAAACTAGGCAGCTGAAATGTTACTGACACCTGAATATATTATGTTAATGCAGGTGGCATGTGAAAAGACTGTGTCAGCCATGCAACATGTTCTGCAAAGGACCATTAAGAGTGCAAAAGGTAATTAATCCAAACCTTGTTCCCTTGTTCTGTCTGGATTTGTGTCAGAAAAAACATTCAAAGAGCTTTTTGGGTTTCCTGACGAAAGGCAGTCCTCAGTGCAGAAGCAGCCAGAGAATATACAGAATGAGAGCTTGGTAGTCTATGTTCCTAACTGTCTCCTCCAAACCTATTTTTGACAACACCCGACTGAAGATGTCACTGTTCAGCTTGTAGTGGGACTGCAGTCATGCTGACTGTGCTCGATTGCTTTGCAGAACAGTGGTGGAGGAACTTGAGGAAATACTGAGTTTGACATGCAAGAGAGCTTCCGGTTTAAGCCTAGCTCGCTTACTTTCCCTTTGAGCGTGTGTGTTTAGTAATGAGAGGGGTTTATCAACCAATAATAAACTGTCTGCTGTGTTGACCATATGAGGAGTGATTTCGTTTCAGCTTCTCTGTGTCTCCTTCCTGGAGAGAGGTGCAGAACAGGGGTGATAGGAAATCACAGCACTGACCTGGATCTTCCCCCTTGGAATCCTTTAACAGGGGGCAGCAAGGGAGATTGGGGAGGGGAGGAGGGTAAAAAAAAAATAAATAGTGGGATAACAGAATGCTATAACTTGTTTCTTTTTATACTGCTGTTTTTAATGACACTGTGATGTCATCTTTTTAGCACAAGCTGGAGAAGGAAACAAACCAAACTCAGCCCAGCTGGAACTGAGAATGGTCCAAAGCAAAAAGGACATAGAAAACCCAGAGATCATAGTGAAAGCCACCGTGTTATAAAGGCTGTACGTCTCCAATAACGCACAATGTATTGATGTCCTCATTTCTTTCCTGTAAATTGTAATATTTGCCTTAGATCTGTGACAGAAACCTGACTTTCATGAAATAGTGCCCAGCATAGGCAGATATCCACTCTCAAACATATGTGCTGGCCTTGCTCAGTTTTAAAAACGAAACGGTTAGTGTGCATTGAAGCATATTACTAGGTATCAAAATGGCTGTCAAATTCACTTAATCTGTGTAATTACCCAGGGCAAGAGAGTACAATGTTCCTGCCTTGCCAAAGACTTTAGGTGTGAATTTGCTTATGGAATGCTTGACTGACTGGAAAAATATATTTCAAGATGGCATCTAGTGCCAATGGAGCTGGCTCCATGCTCCCTTTTTCTGGAGATACCTGGTTACCTGCTCTGGTATTCGGTATCTCAGCTGCTATGAAACTAAGCAGGGTTAAAACTACACACAAAGTTCTGGTTGTGTGTAGGAGTACTTTGAAGATGTTTGGCATTTAAGTACTCTGAAGTGACCTTGAGGTGTCCTTCATGTTACTGATAACTGCTCCTGTTTCTTGTCTGTGAACAGTTGCACTGTTTTGGTTTTTGCAGGTACTGGCTGCTTATTTCTAATGTCTGTGGGTGCCCACATGATTTTTTTAATATTTTTTTTTTCCCCAAAAGCTGCTCCAGAAACATCTTCATTAATATCTTTTTTCAGTAGCATTGATTAGAAGTTTGTAGTTCTACCTCTGAGGCCAGGTTTGATTCTTTATTTAGTTTCTAACTAAGGACAAAAGAGAAAGCAGCTCTTACTCTGAAAGCTGGCTACCCTAGTTTTGTTCTTCATGGGTGGATGTATCTACAAACTACACAGGACACTTCCACTTAGCAGTAGTGAGCGCAGTCGGCAGCTTATCAATGAAGCAATGTGGTAAAAGTCACATTTTTGGTTTAGTAAGTTACATATGTTTACCCCATGTAGTGAAACACACAAGATTAATTTGTTCATAATTTAAGTCTCTGCAGCCTACGCTGATTAGAGATGACAGGAACGCATTATTTTTACTGCATCTTTATTTCAAAATTCTGCTTCATAAGGCTTCAAAATGGGATTCTTAATTTCAGCATCATATACATCACAGCCACATGCTATACCAGTAGGGCAGATATACAGTAGTGCAAGTTGTCAGTACCTGTCAGTATGATTTCTGTATGGGACTGAGATTCTTGCTTCTCCCAAGACGAGATCTAGTGTCCTGTTAAATCCAAATTCAGTTGATAAGCTTTATTTGTCTGAGACTGTATAAGGAGGTTAAAATTGCATTTCTGCTTGCAAATTTGAAGCAAAGCAAAAAAATGAAGCAAATTCGCATTAGAGGAAAGGGCTAATTTTTTTCTTGATCACCTGAGTATGCTCACTCTTGGGTATCTCCCAGATACCTTTCCTGCACCTTCCTCATCACACCTGTCTGACTGATCAGGTCGCTTGCATAGCTTGGGAGTCCCCACAAGAGGTGGTCTGGAGATTGCTTTAGCCACTGAAGTCTTCACTTCACAATCCACCATTTTTGTGGATTTTCTGCTATTGTAAAAGTTAATTGGCTTCACCTAGCAGAAGAGTAATTTATCCTTAAAGCGATTTTTTAGCTGAATAGATTTTTTCTTAGAGTTAAGATCTCATTATTAATACATTTTTGAATCCTTCATTTTCAGTGTCTCTGAAGCAAATGTAAGAGATGAACAGATTTTGCAGTAAATGTAAAAGGGAAACCTCAGGCTTTCACTCTCAACAACTAATAATTTATTTCCTTTCATGCATTTGGCATTAAAAATGAAAAAAAAAAATAATCTATAAATATAACTTGAAAACTTCAAGGGGGAACAACCCCCCAAAAACGGCCTGAAAATGTGACTCTTCTGCCACAGTTTCTAGTAATCACTGCCATGAAATAACTTGCTAGCAATAATAATTTTGGTGATGTGAACATTTGCTAAAATTAGCAGTCAGTAACAGAGATGAGCTCATTGCTGATATCCAACATGTAAAAAGACATGAACTATCTTAACAGTGTCTATAAATACCTGATGCGAAGCAGGGAAGAAGAAGAAACCAGGCTCATCTCTGTGGTGCCCAATGAAGGGATGAAAGACAAGGGGTGCAAACTGAAATACAAGAAATTCCATTTAAACATTAAAAACGCATAATTCACTGTGAGGGTGATTGAACACTGGCACAGGTTACCCAGAGAGGTTGTGGAGTCTCCATCCTTGGAGATACTCAAAACCTGACCAAAACATGGCCCTGAGCAACCTGCTGTACGTGACCCTGCTTGCACAGTGGTGTTGGACTAGATGATCTCCAGAGGTCCCTTCCAACCTCAGCCATTCTGTGATGCTTTGAAGTACAACAAATTGCCTTTCTTTGCAGCACTGTGTTTTTAAATTGATGCAAATATATTTTTTTTTTTTTCTTCCTGAGACACAAACTTCTGGATAGGCTAGGAAATAGCTCAATATTAATAATTTGCTCCCTTTTTAGATAAGCTGCTTTTCACTTGGGCAGTTGTGCCAGGAATACAATTGCCTTCTTTCAGAGAGTTGCTTTCAGCAAAGATGTTTAAATACTGTAGCTGGTGATGAATTTCAGCAGTTGAACACAAAAGGATTTAAACTGTTTCTAGCATTGATTAAAGAAATCTTGCATGCCATATTCCAAACATAACTATAAGTTTATTTATCTTTTAAAATTAGACTATTTTACATGGAAGTATATAATCCCTACCGTCCCCTTGGGAAGAAGGGATCAACATACTGAACTTTCCTGCCTTTACACATCATGGTTGACTTTGCAGCATTATGCCTGACACCCTCGCCCAGCTGTATCCAGTTTTGCAGCTTCTATGGGTCACATTACAAAAAGCTTCAGATGGCGAAGGACCATGTCCTTCAAATTGCCAAGAATTAGATGAATCCCAGGAGCAGTTCACATGCAGTAAATGATATTTGATTTCTACTGTCCCATGGCTCCAGCACAGATCTCTGCTGGGTCTCCTGTAGCCAGGGCTGTGGATTGCCCAGCACCCTGCACCAGCAGTGGCTTCACTGCCAGTCACATAACACGGCCTTAGGGCCTGGCTGGGGAGCTGTGTGGGGCCAAAGTAAGGGTCATACGGTGGCCGTCCCTGTACTAGTGCAGTGCAAAATTGAGGTTCTTTTTCAGTTCTTCACACCGGGGAATCAACAGGAAAGAAAAGGTCAGAATTGGCCTTTTAATTTTTTTTAAAAGCAGCAATAAGTGTGCACCGTCAAAATTTGCTGTTGAAGAAACCCTACCTGTTTTAAGTATGTCCTGCAGAAAAGCCCTTTTAGTAAGTGTGACAGCACATTTTTTTTTGCCATTAAAAAAAATAGACTTTCACAAGGTAATTGAGAAAGTGGCAAGGGCTGCTTTTCTCTGAAATAAAGAATCTTGGCATTTAGGAAACTTAAAGCTACCTTGCAAACAAGGTTTTATTTGAAAACCATAATGAACTGTGATCTTGCCATAAAGGAGAAAATGATATGCTTATTGGAGCAGCTTATACCCATCAGGTGTGATCTTTTCCCACTGCTTCAAAGAATGGATCAGTTCAGTAATTCACACCTTTCTTAGAGTCTGTGACATACTCACGTTAAAAAAAAACAAACAAAACTAATGTGCTCTGTTTGCACAAGTTGATATTTTGCAGTAGCTGGATTCTGTAGCAATGGGCCACTTCTGCTTCTGTCCCTGGGAGTTGTTCATGTAATATCTGTTTCAAACTCCCACTGACCTGATGTAAATTAGGTCAGGTTTATGTCTTCAGTGAAGAATTGGGCTTAATATCTCTTGCCAGGAACAAACATCAGAAATTATCTGTAAATATATTCTGTAGCTAACGTTTTGTAGTCACAACAGGCATTTTTAAATGTCAAGGTATGCATACTCAATGCTTGGATGCATTTTTATTTGTTCAGAGTGACACAGCGCTTGTTCATCATGTTTGCAGAACAAAATTCAAAGACTCAGCACAGTCCTGTCCCATCTTTTATTCCCTCCTCTCCTCCTGCATATGACATCTGTATCTCTTTTGGAGTTCCTACTATCTTTCTGGTGCAGCTGGGAGGTATTTCAGTATTAGACAGCTGCCCACTAAATATTTATTTAAGGGCTTGGAGGAGACTTATCAGGGTTATCTGATCCACTTGCAGATCTTTAGGAAAAGAAAAATGATTAGCTTAAATTAGTTTAGATCCCAATTCATTAGAGAAGATCAAGCACTTTAGGCCGGAGAGTGGAGTCGATAACTAATGGGTAATCATCCCTGACCGTCCTAACAGCGTGAAAAGCTGTAACCCAGTCCAGCATCCCCCAGTTGGGACTGCTGACCTGGCTGCTGTGTGTCGGTGAAGTTTGCAGCAGAGGATGCTTCTGACGCTGATGTACGTGTACGTGTGGGAGTGGTGAATGCTGTGTGGTGGTTGTGTCCAGTCGGCTCCCCCAGCCTTCTTTCCCTTTTCGCTTGGCGGAAGCAATTTGTGTTAGATCCCCGTTTTCTGGAACGAACTTGGCAGTGTATGTGGTCAGCCATTTTGATTACTGCAGGGCGCGCTCGTTTGCGGAGCCATCGTGCAGGAGACACCAGAAGCTGTTAACAAACCATCTACTCTGTTCTGGGCCCAGATTAGTCTCTACATGCTTAAAATTCCCAGGTACCTCTTTGGGAGACGTGCGTAAAGACATTGTGCTAAAATCAATGCTGTTCACACTCAATATACAACATTTAAGAAATCTGCAGTATTAATTGCTAACGTTAATGTTTGTTTTCTGATTTTTTTATCATGTGGAAGAAATCTATAAACAATGTGTTATCCAAAACAATCAGAGGACCAAGGGTTTCCAGCTCTCATACTGCCTTTTTGAGTATCTTAACTGTGTCTTGATTGGATGGTGTTAATTTGTTGTCTGAGGCTGTTATGGTGATTGTATTGATTTATTTTATTTTCAAATATGTGGCAAGGAAGATTGTAATAAAAGTATCTACATTTAATATCCCGTGCACACACAGATTGTTAGATGTGTTTGAATATGTTAATCATTTCAGAATTAAAGAGAACAAGAAGAGTTTGATAGTCTTGCTGAATAAGGTGGATGCAATTAAAGGTTTCCCTAGTTATATCCTAGTAGAGAGAAAGGGTAGTTAATGGAAGAGCACACGTTTGTGCGGTCATCATCTCAGTGTAAGACAGTAGGCAAGTGGATGTGAGTAACATTCTTATTGTCTTATGTTTTTATTTAAAAAAAAACAAGTTTCATGGGAGGACAACTGCTGTCATTCTGCACCAGTGTGTTTGTGTGCCTCTTACTTGTATGTGTAGGACCTCTCCGTGTTGTGCTCTTTATTCCTGCATACGTGGTGAGAAGAGGAGCTTGGAATAAGAACCGCAACTCATTTTGAGGTCTCTTTCTTGTGCAGAGTTTAGCTGCCCTCCCCTTCACAGAACAGCTTTTATCTTACCCCGCAGGTTAGAGCATACAAGACTGTACAGTAGGAAACAATTGTTCCTGCCTCTGGGAACAAGTGCTTCTGCGAGCACTCTCCAACATCTCTGCTATGGCGGGGTGGAAGAGGAAGAGAGCAGGTTCCAGTTTAATGAGAGCACTGGTTATTGGAGAAGGTGCTATGTCATTATGCTCGTGCCCACCAGAGAAGTTTGGCTTTTATCTTATACTAAGGAAAACCACCTCTTCTGAGTAAAGGTCTTTGCCTATTTAAAGAGTACTTTTAGAAGCTGAGACATAAGTGTTACAAATTTTGGCCACTCTGAAACCAAAATACTTCCTCATAAACGGAAACACAACCCCTTCTTTTACATCCCATTGCAGCCTTACTGGTTCATGGACTAGGCATTCAATTCCCCTTAGAAGCACAGGATAAGATTATTCAGAGAGCTCTTCTTCGTGAAAGACATTTGCTTCTGGTGAGAGTGAACTTATTGCTGAAGTTTTTTGTAGCTTTCTAAAACACGTCCATTAAAGACACACATCAGCCATGGAAACTAAGCTTTGAGATGCTCAATCACAGCCCCCAAAATAGCTCTTCTCTTTTAAATAAACGAGTAAACCCACAAGTTTATACGTGCATGCAGGAGCAGATCTGAGGTAAATCCACAAAGTTCAATCAGAAACTGGAGGAGTGTGCCCGAAGTGGAATGCAAGGGAGCTGCTCTTGCCAGCACACTTTTTCAGGAAAGCCCGAACTAGTTCTCACATTTTCCAGAAGGGAAGAACGCTGTTTTGCTTTCAACAGTCTAGGAAAACTCCCATCTGTGTCCCCAGGAAACCAGTGCCAGGTGACAGCCCCAGCACCACCAGCCACCACTTTGGTCCTTTTACTGCTCCAGCAGCAATGGCCCTCAAGGCAAAGGGGATGCTCCCCGTTGTGGTCCTAAGTAAGCATGTGTTCCTGACTTAGTGCCTCCACGGTGCAAATACCAGTAACAAATCCACCATTTGCAGAGCAGTGAATAAGGCAGCACACGATTCAGACAGAGAAAACCAGCAATATGAGAAGGCTGTGCCATATGTTACCACTGAACTCACGTGTACTCCTTACCTATTGCCCTTGTGGTTGCATCGCTGTTTAGAGAAAAAAGAAAAAAAAAAATAATCTGTGTGTAGAAGAGTGTAATACGTGTACTCTTGTGTGTGCGTGTATGTATGTTGAAGCTTTATTTGCAATGTGGTGGGGGTGGGAAACAGAATTTGGGGGCTGGCTGTGTAGGCCTTCGGGATGTGAGCGGAAGGTCTTAAAGAATTATATTTTTATAGATTGTGCTGAAGCTTTGGGTCCCAGCCACACATAGCCTTTTCTTCCAGAAAAGTCAAACGGTTTGGCAAGAGAGTCAGGTGGCTGTAATATAGTAGGGATAGTACAACCCCACCAGCCCTGGACAAACTGAATAACTTAATAAAAAGATGCCTTTTTAAGTAATATTTTTTTAGTGCTGAATTGTTAAACAAAGAAATATTTATGAGCAAACTTTCTATGTACTTCAAGTTTGTGTGGTGCTTTGTACTGACTAGGTGGACCTGTTCTATGTTTACACATCTTAATGATTGTCCTCGAGGCGTATGTAGTAATTCAATGACTTTTATGCCCGAAAAACAATGAAGTTCTGTGTAATAGCAAATTATTTGATTTCTAATGAAATTGTAGGCTTTTGTAGTGTTTGTGTATTTTTCTGGTTGGCGGTTACGAGTTGTATTCTTCCTGCAGTAAAGGCTTGTACGCTTGATTGTAGAGAGAGGCAATAGGATGGTAGATACCATTGTTTAAAAAGAAAACCCTAAATATTGCTACCTTATCCATTATAGAATCAGGTGAGTCGTGGCAGAAGCCTGAAACTTAGATTCTGCATTAGCGTAAAATATCTAATATATCTAGGGCAGGTTAAAACTAGGTGAGGGATTGGTTTATTTAATTAAATAAGATGGAAGGGTCTTACAAGTGCTTAGTAGCAATATATGAACAGAGAAGCCAAGACACTGGGACAAAACTGACTCATTCACATTTTATGAACCTGGCCAAGCTAACTTCATAGCTTGTGCTGAATGGGTGCAACAGGTAGGTGAGTAGGTTAAAGGGGAGAAAGGAAAGATTTCTTTTTTTTTTTCCCTGTAGTTTGTCAGTTGTAATAACGTCTAGACTTTTAGGTAGGGTGATCTGAATTTAAATTCATAAATATATTAACTTTTGGAAGAGTTGAGTTACAACAAAATCCCATTCAGTCAGAAGGCAAGCTGTTAGCACGCTTGAAAATCAGAGCATGATTTTTTCATCTTGTTACACTTACTCAAGTTTTTGTTTCTTATGGCTCAGAGACCGGGGCTAAAGCTCAACCGTCCATATATTTAGGGGCTCTCTAGAAAGTGCAAGGGTCTGCACCATAATTCAGTTTTTGGAGTATGGCCCTCTGCTGAATGTTGTGCTCCTGCCTCAACAGGTGGTGGTCTGGAAAAACTTGAGCATCATTTATTATGTCTCTTTTAAGCAGCATGGCAGCATCCTCACCACACACCTGCACAAATCACTACTGCAAGAACTAGAGGAGAATTTATCAGGGGTTTTTCCTCTCAAGAGTTCCTGAGTTTTGGATATGTTAGAAGTACTTCTTTGCTGAGTGAGCAAGAAAAGTGTCACCAAGATTAATAATGCATTGTCAGGGAGAGAGGCTCCGGGAGGGACCAGCTCTGTTTTGCACGCCTGGCTGTGCCTGGCTTCTCCTCCCCTGGGACTCTGGGGGTGCAGCACAGCCGCCGTGGTGGCAGAGCCACTGCTTTGCCTGCACCCTCCCGTGGGGGAAAAGCGGAGGAGTTTCTTGGAGCCAGGGGGAGATGAGGGCTGTGAGAAGTTGTTGGGCTCTTCGTTTTGCAGTGCTGTGCCCAAGCTCTGGTTTAGCACGACTCCGCGCTTTAAAGCGCGCGGTGAACGGCACGCTGCTGTTCTGGCTGGGGTGGAAGGCAACAGGGGATTCATTCCACTCCCTGTTTTAGGAACCTAATTTAGCCATGTAATTTCCCTAGACTTCATCCACAGGCCACGGAGAATAAGAGGCTCTAAAAGTGAATTATTCAGATGATTTAGGCTAGGCTTTTGTTCTTTGGAAAAAAAAGGTAGAGAATTTTCAGTTGCTATAATAGATCCAACTTGTCCAGCTCATAAAACTGAGCCCTAAACTTCCTCTCCCCTCACTTGTGCTGGCCCTGGTCCTTGCCTCTCCCCATAACGAGTGAAGTGAAGGAGCTAAAACCAGCAGGGAATTTATCCAGCCAAAGCCCCTGATGTTTTCATCCCCTGTAGTTCCCTTGGCCTTCTCATCCTGGGAACGGATGAGCGCTGGCACCGCTGCTAGGGAGGGGTTGGGAAGATGCAGCTGGACAAAATGGGGGAGAATGGGATTGCCTCTCTTCCTGGCAGTGAGGTGCTGGGTAAGGAGAACCTCACTTTGAAAGCAGCACTGTTAGTGGTAAAGAAGTCAGCTGAGTACTTGAAGGAAGAGCAGACTCAGTCATTCGAGTTCAGTGTTCTCAATCTGGCCCCATCCTCTGTATCGCAAAAACTTTATAGAAAGGTTTTGTGTGACTGTTCTCCATGATCTATGTGATGCTTGTGCCTGACAGAGTAGAAAATAGCATAGAATAAAGCAGTTCTCTAATGAGGGAACACAGGAGGAAGGTCCAGGTGGAGAAGGTTTCACAGCACTTGCATGGTGTTGGAATTGTCCAGGTCTGGCTCTAGTCCTTCCTGTCCCCTTTAAGTAAGGAAGAAATCCCATAAATAAGTAAGTGAGTAAATAAGGGAAGCTACATGGGAATTTGAGAGGCTTTAGTATTTATTTTTGCCTATAGATTTTTAAATCTTACCACACCAAAGGTTCATAAGGGATTTTCAGAAGGTGCCTTGCTGAGCGATGTGATGCAGCCCATCGTAGCTTCTTGTGACACGTTTGTCATAACACCTATGACAAATGGCATGGGGATACCCCCGGCAGACAGGTACTCCTGTCCCATGGCCTGCAATTAGCACATGTATTCACGTGCCCAGTGCACGCTCCATGTGAATACGTGCCTTGTTGGGGAAGAAAACTGCAGGGCTTGTTGCTGGAGGTGTGATGGCGGCAAGAAATGCCAGAGAATGTAGCACCCTCCTGGGATCTTGTCATTTGCTGGCAGAGATTGTTAGTGCAACGTATTCCCCTCAGTTTGGTTTTCTTTCTGGAGGATGGGAGGGTGATGGCGTATGTGCCGTTTTGATATGCTTTTAGCTGGCTGAATGGGAAATAAAGATCAAGATTGTTAAAAATGGAGGGGAGGGATAGCTGTGAACTTGCCTAAGGTCTGAGCGAGTAGAGAAAACCTGAGATTTGTCTCCAATTCAGAAATCGATATTGACCAATTGAGTGCCATATCTTCAACGGGGAGTAGCGTCTGGAAGAGGCCAATATTTAGGGTTTTTGCCCAAAGCACATTTAGTCCTGCTCTACTGTTTAGTGAAAACGCCCAGTGCAGATGCCACCAGAGCCTCATCTCGTGGAGTAACGCTGTAATAAAGAATGTGGTTTTCTTGTGAAAGTCTTAACCTCTTCTAATGAAAATAACACACAAGTCAGTATTTTCATGGTGTGTAAGTGAAATGTAATTTTTTTTTTCAATAAAATACATTTCCTTTCCTAAATGTGTTTGGTTGTGATTTGGTTTTTTTTTTCCCTTGGTGATGTTTCTCTTTCCCCAGTTAAGGGGGGGGTGTCCAGCTTTGCTGGAGATGATAACTGTGGGATTCGTGTGGTGGTCTTTGTCCCCCTCTCACAAATGCCTCCGGTGAGTGACCCGGGGCCGAGCCTTGTGCTCATCCTGCTGCCTCTTGCCTCTCCTCTGCTTGCCTTCCACCTCCAGGAGCTGCAGCACGGGGCAGTGGCCACTACAGCTGGCTGGAGCTTTCCTCCTGGAAATCTCACCAAATCACAGAAGTGTCAGAGTTGGAAGGGACCTCTAGAGATGTCCTAGTCCAACTCCCCTGCCAAAGCAGGGTTGCCCAGAGCACATCACTCAGGACTGCAGCAAAGCGGGTTTTGAAAATCCCCAGAGAAGGGGACTCCACGACCTCCCTGGGCAGCCTGTTCCAGGGCTCTGTCACCCTCGCCATAAAGAAGTTCTTCCTCATATTTGAGTGGAACTTCCTATGTTCCAGCTTCTGCCCGTATCTCCTACAAGGAAATCTCCCTCCCCAGTGCAGTGCCTTGCTATTAACTGCAACTGCCCTCCATTTCCTGGAGCTCTGGGTAATTTCAAGTCATTCTTGTGAAGAATACCTAAAACTCAGAAGGAAAGTATTCAATCCTGCTTGTGCCGGGACATTTCAAAACCTGACCATAAGGAATAAGGTTAGGAAAAAAACACGCTGGATTCCACTGGGGGTTTGAAGCACTAAATAGCCTCTGCTTGCAGTTACTGAGGTTTCACTGGTTGTAAATTATGTGGTAAGAATGGGCAGTAAATTTCAGGCCAATGTCAGAAGGGGGACTACGCTGCTGGCTGCAGCTTGGTTAGGTCTCCTGAATGGTCTCCTGATGGCAGGCCAAGAGGAAAGGTATCACAATAGCTACACACCTTCCTGATCCAGTTTTATTTACGTGGCTAATCCAGACACTTCGTGAATGCTAATCCCAGACGTAGGTGTGCTCTTGAATGATCAAGATGTCTCCCTGCAATTGATCTGACTACATCCATCGTCACGGGAGAGAACAAAGTATTAGAATAGAATATTTCAGTTGGAAGGGACCTACAAGGATCATCTAGTCCAACTGCCTGACCAATTCAGGCTCACCAAGTTAAAACATATTAAGAGCATTGTCCAAATGCCTCTTAAATGCTGACAGGCTTGGGGCATCAACCACCTCTCTAGGAAGCCTCTTCTGGTGTTGGAACACCCTTTCAATAAAGAAATGCTTCCTAATGTCCACTCTAAACCTCCCCTGACTGACGCAGCTTTGGACCGTTCCCACATGTCCTAACCACTGGATACCAGGGAGAAGAGCTCAGCACCTCCCTCTCCACTTCCCCTCTTCAGGAAGCTGTAGAGAGAAATGAGGTGGCCCCTCAGCCCTCTTTTCTCCAAGCCAGGCAAGCTCAAAGTCCTCCGCCGCTCCTCACAGGGCACACCTTCCAGACCTTTCACTACTTTTCTCCTCCTCGGGATGCATTCAAGGACCTGCAACATCCCTTCTAAATGGTGGGGCCCAGAACTGCATACAGTACTCCAGGTGAGGCTGCACCAACGCTGAATGCTGAGGGATGGTCACCTCTTTAGGCCAGCTGGTGATGCTGGGTTTGATGCACCCCAGGATGCAGTCTGCCCTCGTGGCTACCAGGGCTCAGTGCTGTCTCCTGTTGAGCCCACTGCCCACCACAACCCCCAGATCCCTTTCTGCAGGGCTGCTCTCCAGCCACTCCTCTCCCCATCCACGCTCGTGCCCAGCGTTACTGCGTCCCAGGTTCTGAGGGCTGCTCTCCAGCCACTCCTCTCCCCATCCACACTCGTGCCCATCGTTACTGCGTCCCAGGTTCTGGCCCTAGTGCTTGTTATATTTCATGGCACTGCTAACTGTCCAGTGCTCCAGTCTATCCAGATCCCTCTTGTCCCTCAAGAGACACAACAGCACCTCCCAGGTCAGTTTCATCACCACCACCTGGGTGGCCACCTGGCAGCCTCTGGCATCCACCCACCACCAAACCCTACGTCTGCTGCTGTGGTACATGGGCAAGTCCCTCCGGCCAGGGTCCCTGCAAGGCACTGGCTGCTCCCTGGCAGCTCCAGTGCAATTAGGGCAAAGCAATCAGAGGAGCTGCTGCCAGGGGGCTGAGCTGGATACGGCCCCATAGAGGGGAAGGAGAGAGGGCAGGAGGTGTCCCAGGGATGATGAGAGCCTCCTGCCCTCTTCTTTCTCTCCCCACAAACCCCCATCCCACATGGTGGTCCCTGGGCCTGCAGAACCTGGTCTCTCCAGTACCTGGCCTGTCCTTGAAGGTGTCAAGCAGGGACCCTCAAGCAGGAGCCATAGGATTCTGTCTGCCTGCCCTGGGGACATGCATTTCATTCCCCTCAATCACTGGGGCTTGGAGGGCAGAGTCCTGCCCCAGCAGGAGGGGTGTGAGGGGAGGGGAGAGAAGGAGGTGGCTTGCAGGGCTCCTAAGGAGCAAAGCAGTCAGAGAGGCAGGAGAACTTGTTCTGCTCTGTCCATGCCAAAGGCTCCTCTGCTGCTGCTGCTGCAGCTGTGAAGGGAGCTGGGAATGGGAGCCTGACCACAGGACTCAGCCAGGTTGCTCCTGGGGGGAATCTTCCTCTTAGAGACAGCAGCAAAATGATTGCTCCTAGACATGCCTCCAGAACTCTTCTGGTAAATGTATTTCTGCTTTCGTGTTGGGCCAGGCAGGGAAAAGTCCCTGGGTGCAAGGCAGGGCTATGATTGTCCAAGACCGGCTGGAGTAGCAGGAGTGTGAGTGTGTGTGCTACGGGCATGTGTGTGAAAGCAGGAGAAAGAAGAACTTCTCCCCAAAGGCTCCTCGCAGCTGGTGCTGCTGGTGGTGGTGCCATGGAGGGAGCCGGGGGCCCGACTACAGGGCTCAGCCGGGCATGGAAGCCAGGGACACCCTTGTGCCACCCACACTGCCCTTTTGGGGAGGTTTGGGGGCCCTGGGAGCTCTCTCCTGCCTCAGGGGGGTTGTGCTTTGCCTGCTGCAGGGGTCAGAGAGCCAGGGGCAATGACTGTGTCCGGCCAGCGGGGTGTTGCGGTGGCACCGATGACAGCACAGAGGACGAGTTCCAGAGGGGTGTCACCAGGGGTGCACGGCAGCGTCACCCCTGCAGTTGGGCTCGGGGCAGCAGTGAGTGGGGCAGGCCGGGGGGAGGCCGGGCTGGATGGGGGCCGGGGCAGAAGCGCTGCCCCCCGGGGGGTTGCTGAGGCTGGGAGGAGGGCACAGCCACTGCGGGGAGCGCCTGGGGCAGGGCAGGGGCTGCCCTCGGGGCTGGGCACAGGGGGGTCTGGGGCCACCAGCCATGGCCACTGCCCGGGCAAGGAGCCATCTCCCTCCCACCCAGCCCCGCTGAACCCCTTCTCTCCTTCCTCCAGGCCATGGCTTTGAGCATCACCTACGTGGTGACCATCCTCAACCTCCTGCAGTACGCTCTGCAGGTGGGCTACCCGACCAACGTGGCCATCCAAGAGCACCTGCAGCAGCATGAGGAGCAGCAGAGGCAGGAGATGGCTTGGCTGATGGAAGAGGTGGAGGAGATCGAGCAGAGGAGCCAGGAGCCATGCAGGCTCACCCTGGGAAGTGTTCTCCTCAATCCCTGCCAGCACTGGTGGTTCTGGGCCTCAGCTGAAAGCCTGCTCATCCTTTTTGCCATCTACTGGATGCCCAGGCAGGGGAGCACTGACTGGGACAGCAGCAGCCAGCAGGGAAGCTCCAGTGATGAGGAGGAGGAGGAGTGGGAGGAGGACGGATGGGAGGACACACCAGACCCTGATGTGGCCCAGTGGGACACATGACTTTCCAAAGTACTTCATCAATTGAATAATCTGTGTGGGCCTACTGGGAGCCCTACGAGTTGAGCATTCTTTGCGAAAACCAAGCTTAGCACTCCACCTTCTGGGAAAAGGGAATATCCAACAACATTACAGCCAGGACAGCCTGTGATCCACTTGTACTGTGCCAGTAACTCTAACTAAACCTCCTGGCCCACTTACCTGGAAAGCTACCCTGATAGCAGTGGTGCAAATTAGTGCATGGTAGATTTTTCCTTCTTTCTAATGGGATAACCTGTCTGGAAAACCCCACCAAGACCAGTCTGTTTTAACTTTTTGTTTAGCAGCTTCCTCCAGGATCAAAGTAAGATACATCATCCTACTGCTTTTGAAGATTTTAACAGTACTTGCTTCCCCAAGAACACCCACCTGTCTCAATTTACTCATCAATTAAAGAATCAGCCACAACTGTCTCAATACAAATAAGCCACCTGTTTTGATATTAACAGACAATAATATAAACATGACCTGTAAAACATGACCACCTGTTAATGACAGATATATATTATGATATTTACAGTAACTCTTACCCACCATATAGAAAATGCTATAATGTGAGTCACTGCTCAATATATGGTATAGTGAAAGGACATGATGATATTAATATATCATATATATGGAACACTCTAGAGGGAAGCAACATAATATTAGGAACAGTATCTCTCAGAATCACTAAACCCATCACAACAACATCAGTGCCTACTTTGAATACTCCCCCAGTTTTACTAAGGAGTCTTACTGATGAGACCCTAGAGTGGCCATGGTCTCAAACTCGTATTAAGTATGCTGGGATCATGAGAACACTCTCTTGCAAGGGAAATCTAAATCTTTCTATCGTGGTCATGTACGGAACTGAAGTACATTTAAAGAATGAGTGGAGCCAGTACAAAGATGAAGCTTATGGCAAAGTTTCCCTACTTTGGGGAACAGCAAGGGAAGAAATTAAAATAGGGTGCTGGTTGATCAATGAATAGGTCTACCCATGAAAAGGCATATGAAATTTCTGTGTACAACATTACATCAAAGCCAACAACAGAATGGGGTACGAAACTTTGAGCCCCTGAAAAAAAATTTGAACTATTGATACAATTTT